ACTTAACTTACAATGTTTTTATTCACATTAACTTTCAATGTTAAATTCACATTAAATATAAAGTCAGTCGTATTAAAACTATGTTATGGCATGACACCCATATCTGTTAATTACGTAAACAGACAGGTTTTTATGCATAGCCATAGTTAAACAGACTACATTATTAGGCCATCGGCCACAATTGATAACATAGGTGAGAATCAAGATATTTCATGATATAGTTAACGCATTTGGGAATGTTTCGAATAAAAAGGGGAAAAAAATTAAAATTTAAATGTTACAATTTTAATTATTGAAAAAGTTTTTTTTTCTGTGGGAGCAAAACTATTTAGACATTTGCATTTCATAGGTTCAGCTTTGTCCATGGCACAAACATTTTTTATTACCAAATTAAAACCAAAAAGAACATTAAATTAAGGCAACAATTTTTTTTTCAAAGTTTTATTTCCATATATTTCTCAATTCAGTGATGCTTTTTCATACAAAATGCAAATGGTAGAAATGATAAGACTGATAGAAGAAATATATGGCATCATAGATCGATCATCAGATCACAGGAGTGAGGCAGTCGTCTCTGTGCATCGCTCCACTGTTTTCAACATCTCTTTTACAACAAACTGAGAAGTGAAGGGTCTTCTAATTTTCTCCCAGAAATCCAGGGCTAAGTGTATCAAAGATTGTTTCTAAAAAAACAACAAAAAAAAACAACAAATCAACAGCCAATTAACTCCTCATAGAAAAACATGGATGAAGGTATACAATTTCCTACATGCACATACGTATGTCATCATAACATGCAAACATGACATAATCCAAAGAGATTAGCCACAGGTCAGTTGGACAAAGTATACAGCACACAGACACAAACTAGTGCTGTAATAAATTTGGCACCTGGCATATATATATATGTATATATTTTTTTTCTGTTTTTATTTACTTTTTTAAAGAGGAAAGGTGATGTCTAAATAAAGGGAAGTCAAAGAGCTATTAGGTTCACAACACTCATCTCCATCCCAAAAATGGAAATAGTGACCAAAGGTACTGTAGTTGACTAGGACATCACATACTGTAAAAAAATAAAGAAATTAAATGTCTTTACATTAACCTTTCTTTAAGCGACAGGTTGCGTAACACAAAATCAATTCCCCACCTATAGTGCAACCAGTACAAATACCACTATACTAATTGTTATACTTTCAGGGGGCACATCAATATCAAGCACAATCAGCAATGCATCTGCATTTAAATCTGGCATTTTTAGGTGAGCTACACATCCTGTATATATACAGTAAAGATTTCTGTGAAGCGGTGAATTGGTCCCATTGGTGCTAAAACTAGATTGTGTTGAGTGCAGGTAAAGCTACAGGATGAGGAGCAGTCCTAAAGTGTCATTTTGTTGCATAGCCCTACTGTACTTCAACAGTCAACATTTCCCTGCATTTAGATATAATAAAGCGCAACAGTCAGGTTCCACAGGTAAAAATTCCATTCATTTTCTCCATAGCTACTGTTGAGATTCTTAAGCAAAAAATCCTGGTAAAGAACTAATGTACCACTCATAATACTGTAAAGAGATTTGCCAATCATGACAATTGCGTAAGATAGGTTTCATTTATTAATTTTTTTTCAGTAGCTTTTATACTATAAATCAGAAAACTGTATTTTTGTATATTGTTTTGCTTGAAATTCCCATGAAGACAATGAATGGTAAAACACTTCCAGAACCACGGCCGCTGAAAACGAAGGCAGCCACTGTTGCACGCTATTGCAGGCTCACCCTAAAAATACCACCATGTAATAAACTCTTCAGATAGAAAAGACACAGTCGAAGTCGTCAAACTGAAGACATGGGCAGGATCAGAGTAAAATCCATATTCTGAATAAATTAACCTTTGTTAACTCTCGTCAAAAACACTACGATATCTCACTAATTGAGAGAAAACAACATATTCTCTATTTCATATAGTTTGCACTGAATCTTTTTGTGTGGTGAATAATAGATACAATAGAAAGTCGACAAAGCGCTTCAATCTGAGCTCATAATATGCCCTCTGGAAACAACACTGACATCAACAGCAACCAACAAATACAACCTTTCAGTCTTCTATAACTCAACTGCATAAGCTTTTTAATATAGCATCTGTTTTCCCCTGAATCGTTTCAATAACATGCTCAGAAAAGACAAACATCATCAATATCCACCTAAACTTTACAACGCTAGTCTTTGTTTTGTGCAATCTCTTTCCTCAAACACATGCTCAAGTACATCTAAGAACCAAATATCAGTGACATTTAACCTACAGCGTACAGCATCTGTTCATTGCCTTTTTTAGGCCAAATGCTTCGTAATGCATCACGCACCAATGTGGCAATAAAATCTCAAAGTTTAGGCACTTGGTATCTTACCTCTCGAGAGTAAGAAAAGGATTAGACCTTACGTAATGTCCAACTACACTTGGATCATTTACAAGGTACAAAATGGAACACTGTGAAAAGATATTCAATCTACTGCAGTCTGATAGAAAAGTGAGTTCAATTTGGCCTTTTTTCAGTAGGTGGGAGCAGATCGTCTGTTCCACTCACGCTAGAGAAAGAAGTAGAATAACAGCAGCGCAAACCTTAAGGTTGTGTGTCCACCAAAGAGTTTTTAGCCACCGAAAATGCCAGCAACTCTTCTGAAAATGCCCAGTTGTGGGCACTTGAGAGCGCTTTGCAGGTGCAGCATTTAGCTGCTTACCTGGTAGACCCATGGTGGTTAAAATGTTCCTCACAAACATGATTTTTTTTTCATATTAATGTTGTAATCTGGGGGTGTCATACGATGGTTATTCAATCATTGTACAAGTAAAATGTGATGGTTGGTTGGTGTTGTATTTGTCCCGCCCATCCTCTAATGCAAATGGACCTTAAGGTAAAAAGTAACAGTGACGAATGCTACATTTTACCCAAAGATGAACACTGTTCAACTCTCAACAACAAGAAACACTGCAAACAATTGAAATTATATGCTGGATTCAGAAAAAAACTAAATGTTTTGGTGGACACACTGCCAAAATCCCTAGAAATAACTTTTCAGTCATTGTGTCCTGTGCAAAGAGTCTAAAGAATCTCTCAAATCTCAACATCTACTATATGTTATATGCTATATGCTACTATATACTATATAACATCTCACTTTTTCCACACAACTGTTTTCACCATAGCTTGTGTTTTTGGGCATCTTCCTCTCTGACATCTGAGGTCTTGATCACAGGCACAGCTGATGTGACCATCTCCCTGCATGTGACCCTTGTGGAATCAGCCCTAATGAAATTAAAAGAGGTGGGGAGCGCCACTTGAGGCTAAACTATTCAGTTTGAAACCTATCAAGACCTCCAAGCGCTATCCATCTTGCTGCAACTTTCGTAAACAATAACACGGACGTCTGTTACTTTCTAAGCAAGAGAAGAACACCTTTATAAAACCATACAGGCTTAAGCTGTTGGTAAACAGTTGTAATAGTGTAAACTGCAGACGTAACTCTTGTTTCCCTCCAAAACTTGGCTCCTCCTCCTAGGGCAAAGATGATTGAATCATGCTAACACCAGTCATCTCTCTCAGTTTCCTGGTAGCTTCCAGATGCTCTACCGCTCGACCCAGGTGCCGCGTTCACTCCGAGGGAGTAGTGATACCCGTTGGGGACTCCGCTCTGGCTGCGCGAGAGCAGCGTGGAAGTGGGGGCCGCACCTAATGAAGTGTGGGCGATGGAGGCTGCAGTCCTGGGGGAGCGGCCCGTGCTGTACGTGCTCAAGGCATCGTGGAAGTCGTCCGATTCAGACAAGTGCGAGTCTTGCTGGAGGGGACCTAAGTTGGGGTCAGAGCCGATACGAGTGACAGGCACGGGAGATTGGCGGTGGGTGCTACCGCTGAGTAGGGCATCGTGCTCTGACAGGCCACGACTAAGGCGAGTGGGGCAGGGCCCTGTAGACTGGGCAGTGTTGAGCTGGACCGGAGAGGAGTTGGCAGTCTTGTAGGCAACAGCAGGCCGAGGGGTAAGGGGCGTTTGTGGGAGCTGTCTACGCCCGCGGCAGGGTGTGCTGGTGCCTGAGGTATGAACGACTGAAGTTCCTTTAGCTGTGCTAACTCCCTGAAACACAATGCAGAGAAGAGAGAGTAAGTCATTGCCACACAGCAATGTGCGGAAGCTAGAGCGACTGAGGGAAACCACCTGACCTGTTTAAGCCTGTTTGGGTCATGGGGTTCTCCTGGCGATGTGGATCTGCTGGGCCCAGCGGACACGCTGTGGCCTTGCTCATGGCTGCCGTAGCGGTCGCAAGAGTAGTATCGCTGCTTCCTTTCCACCGCTGAGGATGAATGGTGCTTCCTCTCGTGGGAACGGCCGCGGTCTCGCTCCCGTGCTCGTTCCCTAGGCAGTGACTCAGTGTTTGGATCTGCTGTTGTATATAAAAATACATCACATATATTAATCAGCCATGTCCTATTCACAGCTAAATTGTGCATTTTTTAAATGTTAAAATATGATGTTCTGTGGCTCTTTTAAAACATTTCTTGTTTGTTTGAGTGTTGCGACCAGCCCAACATAGCAACAGTGGCGTGAGAAAGTTAAAGTGGGACTGACAGTGAAACAGATGAGCGGGATCTGTTTGCCCAACAAATGGAAGACAGAGAGAGGTACTTCAAAATCAATCATTATTTTTGAAGTAGTGCAAAAATTACAACAATTTAAATAAAAATAATTTACTATATCTATTAAATGACATATACAATCTACTGTTCAAATGTTACATTTTTAAAAAATATATATTTTTAATGTTTTTGGAGGAAAAAATATTTTATGATCACCAAGGTTGCATGTATTATACATAAAACTATAATATTGTGAAATATTATTACAATTTAAAATAATAATTTTAATATATTTTAAAATCTAATTTATTCCTGTCATGACAAAGCTGAATTTTTGGGTTGTTTGTTTACTAAAAAATGTGTAATTTCAAATTAAATTAAATGATTAATTATTAATTTCTCATTTTCTCTGCTTATATTCTCTCTCTATAAATTAATGTATCCATACACCGGGGCCATTTAACTGGTCTGTAAACATCAGACACTGCTGCCCAACACCAACCCGAAAACCACTATGAACTCAAAACACCAGAGGGCACTTATATATCACCACAAAAGAGCTGGTGACTTGTGTGTGTGCATGTGTGAGCCCTGCTGTTTGGTGCTGTTGTGATCTTTGACTACAGAGAAACAAAAACATGTAGAGGAAGAAGTATGTGGGTGTCTGTATGTGTTTGAAATCCGAGTACAAACACACCCAACTAAAATGAGCTTTCAGTGGACTGATGTATTGCTCTGTCTCAACTCGGTCAAAGCTGACTGATCTATTAACAGCAGAGCCAGACTCCGGCTGAGAAACATGTTTGTGTTCCAGTGTTTCTAAGAACAGAATGTGAGGAGCAGGAGAGAAAGAGAAGGAATCTTGTAATAAAGAAATAAGAGGTGGTTCATTTTGTCATCCTGAGAGCGCTCTCCTCGTGCTGCTTTCTCCGACTGCTGACTTTTCCCAGTCATGTCACAAACTGGCCAAGAAACAAAAATCAAAAAATCAATCCATTCAAAAGCACATTTTCTAGCAATGGTCTGTAAGCCCCACTCTCAGTCAAAGAGAGAGGTTGACAAAGTAAATCCTACACCAAAGCTCTTAGGAGAGCAATAAAGAGTCTTTTCCTCGATAACCTGATCACTGTAATCCTTAAAAGAATTTATATCACTGTGCTAAGCAAAAGAAGCTGTGATTTTCAAATAGTATGCCATTTTTCTTCATAATCCTTAAAGACTGTACATACCTATATATAACAAATGTCACATTTTAAACAAAATTAATAATATAATATAATATAATATAACATAAAACTGCATAGCAACACGATATAACAAGATATAAAAGGACAAAAATATTTTAATCTGTTGTGTTATTTAATTTTATACAACAGTTCTTTCTGGTCCTTGAATCTGATTGGCTGAGAGGAGTGCAATATTCTAGTAATAACAGAACTCCAACCATTTCACCGTTTGTATCACTCCACAGCGAGTGTAATGGCGGATGCCCAAATCCACTATAATTTAAAAAATAATACTGTTTTTGTGTCACGGAATGTAGTTTTAAGAGTTCATTTAGGTGAGAATGTAGTTGTTTAGACTTCAAATATGCGTTTTTTAATAAAGATAATGTCTATTTGAAAATTTGCTTCAATGTTTTCTGAGATGTGAGCTCCAGGGTGTCAGCAGCCGTTCAGCACTCATGAACCCGCCGAGCAGGGGCGTGTCTAGAGCATTTTAAATGGGGGGAACGATGTATGTTAAAAGCACACATCCAGTTTTGTGAGTGAAGGAAATCTGCTTGGGAGTGGAGAGATTCGTCCTCGTGCACATGGATCGCGTAACATTATGCGCTCTCGACATTGTCATTAAGATCACACTATAGAAACCGCCTAAAATTAGAAATTTACTAAAAACAAGCCTATGGCAAGACATCTGGTAGGGGGGGCACCTGGGGTGGCCAGCCAAATTTCAGGGGGGGCCGGTGCCACCCCTGGCCACCACGTAGACACGCCCCTGCCGCCGAGAGCAGCCTCACCTTGGTCAGTTCTAATAAAATTTGCCACTGACTCTGATGTCTCTGCAACACAAGATATAAGTCATTTTGGGTAAATCTACCAGGCATTAATCTATTATTTGTTCCAGAACAAATAGCTTTGAGTGAGGGCAAAATCTAATTTTTATAGTGAATATGTGATGTATATAGTGAAGAATGAATGCTGTATTAGATGCAGGTAATCAAACTCGCTCAGTCCATCTCTTTCTCATAATACAATAAGCTTTCAATGAAGCAATGAACTCAACATTCCTTCGCTACTAGTTCTAAAGTGACATTTTCTAAAGATGCCCCCCTCCCTCCCTTATTAACTATAGTTTTTATTGAAGAACATACAGTTCTTGAAACTCCAAATCACAGCTTCTGTTAACAATATAGTAAATACATATTATAGTTTCCGTTCTGCTAATATTCTATTGGGAGCTTTTAAATATTGTGTTAAAACAGGTAAAGGGGGCCTTCAACTAAGACGAGAGAGAGATCCACAGTTCTAGGTGGTTGCTTACTAGACCAAATCAAACAGGTCCACTCTATGACATTTTTGTGCTCTGAAATACTCATTATTTTCTTTCACATGTATGTGCTGAAAAGCGTAAAAGAATGAATGAGAAAGGAAAATCGAGCCCACCTGCAGGGGGAGGCTGCTCCTCGCTGATGACTCGATCCAGCGATTTGTGCTTCTTGTCTCTGCGCCGCTGGCAGCGGTGATGATGATGGTGATGATGATGAGCTCTGTCCCTCTCTCTCTCCTGAGTGAGGGTCTGGCCCGGGGCCATCTTGGGCCTCTCCAGGTCATAATCGCTCAGATTGACCTCTCGCACCCCTCTCTGAGGAGTCAACGAGGACGCAGACCGCCGCATGGGACTCACGTCTGCGATAGGCTGTGTGGTGGAAATAAAGCGAATTAACATGTGAAAGACGAAGAAAGGGGATGAAGGAGAGGACATATGTCTAGCACAGTACTAAAATGACAAGAGTCTCAGAGCACTAGACCTGTCACAACAGACGCACAACACCAGCTGAGCATGAAAACACACTTCCACTGAAGAGCGACGTTCAGCCCGCTCCTGCGGACACACGCACGCATCGGAGAACAGTGGAACACCGTCACGCTCGATGCAAACACTCTGCCGTTTGAATGCTGTCATCGAATCGTCTCTTACACACGGACTGGACAGCTGGAATAGTTGCTGCATGAACTATCCACAGCCAAGCAGCGGTCACTGATCTATAAAGAGTCACTGGTGCTTTTCTTACTTAACTGTTACTGTTAATCTCAAGATACAATACAGTATGTACACATGTGTATTTACAGTATCAAAAAGATATTCATTAAATGTTAAATTGTCACTTTAGACCAGATTCTTTAGAGAATCCGTGACCACTCCTTGGTGATGACTGGAATTTTTACCTTTGTAAGTCTTCTACAAAGACTCATTAGTGCCGCCTAGTGGCATAATCGTTCAGAACCTCTAAAAAGCAGTGCGTCCCCTCTTCTCATAGTTTAAACAGCTTGAAATGTTTCTTTTAAACTGCACAAAATACATAAGAATCAATCCACTGAATATGGAATATGAGGTTTTCAATGGTTGATAGTAAAATCATTAGACTTATTCCCCCATTGCAATTTCTTTTGAAAGAAATTAATACTTTTATTTAGCAAAGATGCATAAAATTGATCAAAAGTGACTGTAAAAACATCATTTATTATTATAAAATAAATGATGTTCTTTTGAACTTTCCATTCATCAAAGAACCCTGAAAAATATGCATCACAGTTATTTTACATTGCAATATTAATTCACAATATTGCTGGTTTTACTGTATTTTTGATCAAATAAATGCAGCCTTTGTTAGTATAAGAGTTAGTTAGTTTTATTTGTTAGTATTAATCTTACACAAACATTAGTGTACATGAAAATAATCATGTATATGGCTGAAAGATATGTGAAGGGAGGACTGCACTAATCAAAATGATACACAACCCACTAAATGAAACACTCATACTTGCAGTTAGCACCAAACAACATCCAAGATAAAATAAGCATCACGTTTTAGTATTTACTTTTTGTATTCCTATAACTAAACTGTGGTTAATCTATTCCATTAGTAAAATAGTTACCCACAGTGATGAACTACTATATATGGCTTTTGTAGTGCATGCTAGTTTTGTGTTTACCTCACAAGGCTAATATGACTTGTGGTTATACAAGTTTATTGGACTCCTAAAAGAGTGTGAACTCTAAAAGAGCTGGAATGGATAAAGCACACACAAGCCAACATAGAAATGGAGTGGCTGGCAGAAAGAGATAGAGGAAGAAAAAGAGAGAAAGGGAGAGTGATTGCAGGTGGAACACTTGTACATACTGCTAGATACGTTCCGGTGGTGTGGCGTAAGTGGCTCCGCTGTTGGACGGGAAGAGGAAGAGGACACATAGGTGAGGAGAGCAGGGCACACAGCTGTGGCACTCATGGACACAGTAACAGAGTGAGACAGGAGGAGAGAGAGCACAAAAGAGGGACAGAGTAAGAACGAGTGATGTTTATGAAAAGTCTGGATATCAAGGTCCAGTATGGTCAGAAAACAGGTGCCTAAAAAAATTAGGGATGGTGGATTAGAGATTGTGTCAAAATAAAAGGTGGAGAAATTAGTTCAGTGAGTTTGATGTAATAAAGACTGTTGGAGAGAAAGAGGAGACAGACAAGACAGGACAAGACAAGACAAGACAAGACAGGAAGAGACTAAAGACAAGACATTATAACAAGGATGCTGGAGACTTTGTGAGTCTATTAGCGATGTGGCAAAAATACCAAATCAAAAGAAACCAAGTATGTACACAAATAAATTTACAGTTAAAAAGCAACATCAAATAATTTCACAAGTTAATGAGGAAAAACTCAATATCAAACATACAAAAACAAAACTTGTTTTTACTTGTTATTACTGATAACTACAACAATTAAAAATGTTTTTTTTTGTTTTTGTTAAAAATAAATTAAATATGAAACTTATTTGAACAACTTAAGCTTAAATAAGAAAACGTATAAATAAAATAAAATTGAATAAAAAAAAATTAATTTCTAAAATAACTAAAACTGAAAAAATAAAGCATATAGTATATAAATATAACATAAATATTTTTAAATACCGCAAACTAATTAAAATGACAAGCACATAAGACAGAAAAAAACTTTGACTAAAATCTAAATAAAAAACTGAAAACAAATGAAAGCTTATTCTAAATATTAATAAATACTATAATACTATATAAAAATACTAAAACAACACTGAAATTCAATCTTACGTATATCTACATTGAAAAAAAAGATATTTCAAGATGTAAATAAAGCAAAGATTATTAGAGTACATATTACAAGAAAATAGTGTTTCAGTCTTTCTACTTTAAAAATGCTTAATTCAATGTTCATGCTGTTTCTTTGTAATTAATTGTGAAATATTCTAGCAATTGTTTTTTCAATTTCTGAGTGAAAGTTGTTTCTGCACCATTTTTTTTCCAGTGTAATTTAAAATAAATTAAAGGATTTAATTACAACAAAGATAAAAAATAAAGCATTCTTATATAGTTCTGTATATAGTGTAAATATACTGTATGTAGACTTTGCATTGTCCCTCTTCTTCTCTCACTCACTCACTCACTCACTCACACACACACACACACACACACACACACACACACACACTCAACTG